GAACAATTCCAGCTACTACTTCACCTTCATTGGAGCCTGGAATGACTAGGGTCTACGAAGTTTCTATGAAATTATATTCCTTCCCTGCATTTGCTCACTCCAGATGGAGAAAACACCCACCCCCTTGAGTTACAATACCAGAGCTGCTCAGCAGAGACACATTTCTGAATCCCTATAAGCAAATGAATACCTACATGGTTTCATTAAAAAGCCACTAGCTGTTTCTTCAGAGCCTGAAAATTAGCTGTGCAAATGTGAACTATTAAATTACACACTAGGTTAATAGGAAACTTCAGACTTTCTGTTATAGAGACCATGGAACACCAGAGAACATGAATTAAACTGACGTGAGCGAAAATTTTAACATGCCCAGGGGAAATGAAAAGGAGCCTAGCCTGGTGTGGCTCAGCAGTTGAGCATCGACCTATGAACCAGGAGATCACGGTTCGATTCCTGGTCAGGGCACATGCCCAGGTTGCGGGCTCAATCTCTAGCTGAGGGCGTGCAGGAGGCAGCCGATCTCTCATCACTGATGTTTCTATCTCTCTCTCCTTTCCTCTCTCTGAAATCAATAAAAACATACACTAAAAAAAAAAGAGTGCTACTTGAAATGAGACTCTTTAATATGGACTAAATTTTAAAAATGGACAGTTTTTTAGATTTTGAGTAAGGAAGAAATGTTTGGGCTTATCTTAAATTCCCAGCCCTTAGAAGCTAACATGAAAAGAAAAATCCTTTTCTTGTCTTGGCAACATTGNTAGAAGTCAGCAGGGGTTCAAGCAGCCTCTTGTGGACTCAGCCAACAGGACATGGTTGGCCTACAATATCCTCCGTATAATCAGTTGGAGGCCACTAGGCTTTCAGCAAAGCATCTCTTCCAACTTCTCAAGCATTGTTCTTTTTCTATTACTAATTGAGTGTTTTACTTTTAGATAATCCTATAATGAACCAACTCAAATGAGCAGAGAGGCAGGAGTGACAACCCATCAATAAAATAATTAAGCCGAAGTAGATTTTGTTAGAGACTTCTCATGTCATAATAAGAAATCTAGGCTATTTAAAATCAGGGAAATTAAATAGAATCACTCCTTTTTGTTTTAAGAGGAAAGTTAGCTGTAAAAGTATGTCTTTCATAGAACCCTCATGAACTCTGCTGACAATACTGGTTATTTACTCTGGAAGTGCATATAACAGAAAATACCAAGGGTGTACAAGGTGGTTTCCAGAATTTTCTTTTCCCATCTCATAGTTTTCATTTAGAATTTTCTATAGAATTTAGGTAAGAGACCCTTGACATTTTCTCAGTTTTAAGATTCAGATTGTGGCCTCAGTTCCCAAAGACTTTTGTCCAACGTATACATGCCATGGAAAAACGGGGAAATCAGGGCGTGATGGGCACAGACGCAGGGCCAAATCCTACCTCCTCTCTCTCCCAACCAGTAAAAGAGGAGAGCTCCTGGCAACAAAAGCTCTTTTGTATCCCCCTCCCCTGGTCGATCCAAGAGCCGGTTAGCCTTGTCTTACAACACAAGTTCCATGATGCGTCTGACTCAGTTCACCCTTAACCTCCGAGCTTTGCATCATCTCGAACTGGGAGCCTGGGATGAGCTACAGAAACAACCTCTGCAGTAATAACATTCAACGATTACTAAATGGCTTCAAGCTCTGGATAAGAAATCAAAACAGAGGCCAGAGCTGCCTTTAGGTACTATTGGGTAAAGCAGGAACTAAATAAGGAAATGACGTGAACTTGAAGTCATTCAGGCCGATTGACGCCCAAAGTGGAGGCCACATATTGGACCGAGATAAGAGACACCCTTGAGTGGTGACATGAAGAGGACACACTGAAACACCCGTCACTGCAGGCCAAGTGAAATAATTACATACCCATGCTCCATCAGGGCCAAACAGTTCTAAGAAGTTGCCAATGAATTCCCTTGATTTCTCTTCCCACTTTTGAATTAGATCATGACTCTTTTCTTCCACTCTGTTAACAAATTCCTTCGATCTTTCCTCCACGTTCTTAACCTTTTCTTTCATCTTGTCTACCTGGTTTTGAAAGCGATATTTCTTCTCCTGGTCAAAAATTAAAGGAGGGAAAAATGGATTTATCTGAGAGGGCATGAGAGAGAGAAGTCATTCACACTAATGGTTATACTTTATCTCAACTTGTGTTTGTTCTTAACCTGAAGAGTCAGGATTTCCCAAGAGCTGGATTGATGGGAAGGCACATCTCTTATTAGAAAATCACTTGTCATTGGTCTTGCTGGATATGTAAAGTGAAGCAGAAGTAGTTTTAATATTTTCTTTCTTGTAAATGTCTTATTTGAATTCACTTATATAGGAGGATAACCAAAAATATATACTTGCTCTCTATTGTGGGTAGATACTGGGCAAATACACCCCACAATTCTGTTGGGACTTAGACAGAAGTATAAACTGTACATAGAATGGCCACTCAGAGGCTGTCCGAGTCTTCTATTTTACTGGGACATTGTTAAAACCAATATCGGTTGAAATAGTGGGTCATTTGCTGGACCTTAGAATCCATGTGTTATACTAAAATTAAGCGAATTGAATTGCATTGATTTCCTTGGTGGCGAAGAAAGCTCTTATCCTGATAGCTTCTCTTGAGCGGGACTTTGTTTTGCTATGGCCTTTGTGCAGCAGCACTAACATCTATGGGCCTGGAAGGCATGGTAAGGCAGGCAAGTCACCTCTGAACCTCAGTCTCCTCATCTGTAAAATGGGGTCATTATCATCCCTACACTATCAGGTCACTGTAACAGATAAGGTGACACACGGAACGTGCTCTGGCACGGCCTGGCATTTAGTAGAAGCTCGGTGTGTGTGGTCTGTTACATTACTGTTCAGCAGTATTGGCATTTCATCCCATTACCTGAGGAGAGTGGCATGAAAACCATGAAAACAGCATGAGACAGAGGGTCCTCCCCTCCGTGAAATCATGATACATTTTTCCTAAATAGGTAATAATCATTTTTCTTCACTATATGGGACTGCAGTTCATTTCATAGTTCAGATTTTCTTGCACCTGGAATATTACAATACTGTGTCAGGATTCCCTGATTTAGACTTTGCAAACTTCACTGCTGCCTCGGGGCAGGGCGTGAGCTATACTCCAGCCGCTCAGCTATTTTTACTATGTGCTGCCCCTGAGAGCACGGAGTATTAGAATGAGCACTGGGCTGGGAGTCACGAGGCTGGGAGGCCGCTGTGGCCTCCACCTCTGCTTTGCTTGAGGGACCTTGGTCAGGTTCCCTCTGAACTCAGCTTTCCTCATTTCTAAATGGAGGGACTTGGACCAGGTGAATGACCCTCGGCAGGCTCCTGCCACCTCTGAGGTTCTGTGATTCGTCTACATGCCCATCCAACACATTTGCCTTCATCTCTGGGCTGCGGCCCGCTCTGTCCTCACAGGAAGGCCATGAGAGCGTCCATGCTGATTACACAGTTCCCTGAGCTAAGTGGCTTATCCAAAGGCCTCTTGAGGGAGTGAGCGAGAACTTTTGGAAATGGCTCTACATGCTTGGATGGTGGAGTGAATTCAGTTTAAAAGAATGGTTTAATTTATTGAAATAACCAGGGCTTTATTCTCTGAGACACCAAATAATCACTTTGGCTGAATTCTTTTCAGCCACTTATTCTGGTGCCTCTTGAACCTGACATTTTCCATTTTGTTGCCTGGCTTGCATGAGGCCCCAGAGCCTGGACCACCGACACCCCCCTCTCGTGAGGACAACTAATAATCCCTGATTTACAATTAATGAGCCCCTCCTCATTGTGAAGGTACCAGTGCGATTGGTGTAAGCTGCCGGATAACTATGGCTGCATGTAATTCTAAGCATCTAGCTTTGTAGAAAAATCCCTCTTTGAAAGTATAGTATCTATTTGGGGGTGGGTATTGAAATTCTATATGGATGGAGAGTCTTGTTTTATCAACTACATGGGCTCCTCAGCCTAGACAAAGACAGTTGACCAGACTTGCTAACATCGCCTCCAGCAACTGGCCTGCCCTCTTTGCTTTTACCATCAGCCTGTTTTGCTTGTTTTAAAGACTGTTTGAACAGTTGCTCTATTATTAAACTAACAGCAGCTCTGTAGGAATAATATGGCAGAAATACCCAAGGAAGCCAAAGATTTTAGGCTTTATTTAAGCAGCTGTAATTTCTCTGGACAATAAAAAATGGCTGTTAAGGTGTCTAGTGAGCATCTGTAAGGCCTTAATAAACTGAAAATTTTCAAATGTTAGAACAAGAAAGCATTTCCTCTGGGTTTAGCTTTCCATTGCCCCTGCCCTCCTTCCTGCCCTTTGAATAGAAGAGAATTCTTGCCTTTCCTGAGGGCAGATCTCCCAGAAACCCTTGACCCGAGTCAGAGAGCTCTAAAGAGGGAGGTTGGAGCAAAGGGAGGGACGTGAGGCAGCTCCTTTAAAAAATGTGAAGCTCACTACCTGTGTGCCTTGGTTAACTTACGTTACCCCTTTGGACATTGGTTTCTACATCTGTAAAATGGGGTTAATGATATATCATTGGGTTGTTATGTGGATTGAATGAGATATGTGTAAAAACATCAAGAGCACTGCCTGGCATATAGTTAGTGCTCATGAAACAGTGGCAGTGGTGCGATGTGGTGGTCCTCAGAGGGTATGAGGTGGGACACTTACATTTATAAAGCTGACATTCAGTTCCTTTGCCGTGTACCCTCTCTGGAGGTTGCGACGGGCATAAACATCATAGTCCCGGACAATTCTGGTGATGATGTCTGATGTTGAGATGCCCTCCGTTCTCTGCGTTGGAACGAACATTCCTGTTCACATAGGAAAGAGGAGATAGGGAGACACCGTTAAGATGAAGTTGGTTGGCCCATCTTCTTTAACCCTCTTTCCAGGGCAAAGCTGCAGCTCCTGGGTGTGTCTGAGGTTTTCGCGTCTGGCCCCAGCTGACTTTTCCAGGCTCAGTTCCGTACGCTCCTTCCCCGCCTGGCCCTGCTCCCTGGATGTCCCGCGCACTCGCCCGGCTCCTAGCGTTTGCTCATACCCAGCCCTTCCTTTCTGCCTTGAACCCTTCTTCCCTGCTGCATCAGCCACAGCATTCCTGTCCATGGTACAGCATCCAGCTTCAAGGCTATGCCCCTGGGAAACCTTTCCTGACACCACCGGGCAGAACCCAGGACACTTAGGACGTGCACTGCCTGTCTCCTTGTAGAAAGAAAACACTCTGAAAGCACAGATTATGCCTTGACTGCCTTTGCCGCCCCAGCACCAAGCTCAGTGCCTGTGTCTAGCGCACAGAAGGTGCTCAGTGAGTGTAAATTAGGTGAAGAAGTGATTGGGGAGTAACAGTGGAGTCAATGAAGCAGTCAGATCCCGGCAACTCCCCATCTCCAAAGAAGGCTGTGTCCCGTTACACTGAAGGACAAGCAGAAAAAGTGCTCTGTCTTTGTTGTCTCTAATCTAAAGACATGCTCGTGGGGTGCTAGGTAACTTTATCTCCCTAAGATTGTTCTGCCCCAGATGGGGATTTCGCCACTCAAAGGCCCTTTCATCTAGAATCCATGGGACTGGGTAAAAAAAAGCAGAGGGTGCCCAATTCCAATAGAACTGCCTCAAAGCCCTCAGATATATTTGGGTGGACCAACACAGGGCTAAAAAGAGGTCACAAATGTTATCAGAGACGAGAATCTGGTTTGTGCTGACAGTTGTCCACTGAAATGCTCTATTGGCAATTGGGATCTTCCTACCCAGTATGATTATGGCTACTCTGAGACATCAGGCACGGGACGGCATGAATGGATAGAGCCTGGGAAGGAGGGTGCTCGGTTCTTGGTTTGTAGACTTGGGCAAGTTTCACGGGCATCAGAAGGCAAGTTACTTCACCTCAGTCTTCAAAGCTGAGAAATGAGGTGGCTAGACAGGTGACCTTGGGCTCATCCATGCCACTTCCCTCTCCCTCCCTCCTTATACCCAATTTTCTTCCAGTCACCAATCTACTTAGTAGATGTCTCCCCAACTGACCCACGTTTCTCCATTCTCCATCTAAGCCAACCTAACACCATGTTTTTCAAAGATTACAGCAAGAGCCTCAACACCAGTCTCCAGCGATACTTTTTTTTTTTTTTTTT